TTACTTGAGGGACACAGAATTGTTACTGAGGGCCACAGAATTGTTACTTAGGGCCACAGAAACGTTAATCAGGGACACAGAATTGTTACTGAGGGCCACAGAACCGTTACTTAGGGCACACAGAATTGTTACTCGCAGGGACACAGAATTGTTACACAGGGACACAGAATTGTTACTGAGGGCCACAGAACCGTTACTTAGGGCCACAGAATTGTTACTCAGGGACACAGAATTGTTACTGAGGGCCACAGAACTGTTACTAGGGCCACAGGGCCACAGAATTGTTACTCGCACAGGGACACAGAATTGTTACTCAGGGACACAGAATTGTTACTGAGGGCCACAGAACTGTTACTTAGGGCCACAGAATTGTTACTCGCACAGACACAGAATTGTTACAGGGACACAGAATTGTTACTGAGGCCACAGAATTGTTACTTAGGGCCACAGAATTTTGTCAGGGACACTCAGGCCACAGAACCGTTACTTAGGGCCACACACAGAATTGTTACTCAGGGACACAGAATTGTTACTGAGGGCCACAGAACCGTTACTTAGGGCCACATAAACGTTAATCAGGGACACAGAATTGTTACTGAGGGCCACAGAACCGTTACTTAGGGCCACAGAATTGTTACTCAGGGACAGACACAGAATTGTTACTGAGGGACACAGAATTGTTACTGAGGGCCACAGAACCGTTACTTAGGGCCACAGAAACGTTAATCAGGGACACAGAATTGTTACTGAGGGCCACAGAACCTGTTACTTAGGGCCACAGAATTGTTACTCAGGGACACAGAATTGTTACTGAGGGCCACAGAACTGTTACTTAGGGCCACAGAATTGTTACTCAGGGGACAGACACAGAATTGTTACTCAGGGACACAGAATTGTTACTGAGGGCCACAGAACTGTTACTTAGGGCCACAGAATTGTTACTCGCACAGACACAGAATTGTTACTCAGGGACACAGAATTTTACTGAGGGCCACAGAACCGTTACTTAGGGCCACAGAATTGTTACTCAGGGACACAGAATTGTTACTGAGGGCCACAGAATTGTTACTTCTGGTCTGGCCACAGAATTGTTACTCAGGCACAACACAGAATTGTTACTCAGGGCCACAGAATTGTTACTGAGGGCCACAGACACTGTTACTTAGGGCCACAGAATTGTTACTCAGGGACAGACACAGAATTGTTACTCAGGGACACAGAATTGTTACTCAGGGACACATAATCGTTGAATTAAAGAGTATGTCAGACAACATGCAGAGGAGTGGCAGAGGAGGCAATGTTTTAGGAGCGAGCAGACGTGGCAGCAGAGGAAGGGGTCGAGGCAGCACTATTCGCAGCCAGAGGCCAGTGCTCCCGGTGTCATCCAGCGGTCGTGTCTCCACCGACAACCCTGCCGTCATCGATTGGTTGGCTCGGTCGTCTTCCTCTTCCCAGGTCACCTCTGACACCTACAGCCAACGGTCGGTGGGTACGTCAGACACAACCGTTAGTTGGCATGGCCCGGGAGCAAGCCCACTGAAATCACATGTCCTCTACCTGCCCCTGTCCTTTGCTGTTCCCTCACCAAGCGAAGTATCGCATGCTGTGGGCTCAGCCCCACTGTACAGTGAGGAAGAGCTAACAGAGGGCGGTCAGGAACGGGGGGAGACATCGGCCTTTTCAGCAGCCAGGCGAACAAGTACTGGCGAGGAGAGTGGCTCGGTAGCCGGTCTAGAGACAGGTCTGTCTCCTGACCCAGACGCAGCCGAGGGGGCTAGTAGTGAGGCGGAGACCCTACTTGATGATGAGGAGGTTGATCGCACTTGGCTGCCTCGTCGTCATCAGGCAATTTCTTCCGCATCATCAGGAGAAGAGGGTGCCAGCTTGGCAGCGAGCGAAACAGTCGGTGGGTTGCCCAGGAGGCAGCAGGGTCGCATCAGTGTCAGTGGAGCCAAACGTCCACGGAGTAGAGCACCAGCTCCACTGCAGCCTACCACCACGGCCAGTAGTGGTGCCGGTGCGCACGGAGGAAGTAGCAGTCAGCCAGTGAGGAGTAGCGGGGGCAAAGTTTCCTACTCGGTGGTGTGGCAATTTTTCGTCAAGCCGCGCCGAGGGAAGTAAACGTAGCCGTATGTCGACTATGTGGCCAGAAATGCAAGCGTGGCCAGGGGGCCCATGTTGGGACTACAGCGTTGCGTCAGCATATGCAGCGTCACCATTCGGTGGCCTGGGAAAACCGTGATAAAGATACGGCGGTTCTGCCTGCCCCAGCCCCCGCTCCATCACCCGCTCCGTTACTTGCTCCGTCACCCGACGTCGTCAATCGCCCTCTATCAGCCAGTCAAGGCTCCAACACCTCTGCTGAGGGGAGTTGTCGCTCGTTGGCATCTTCCGCTCGTTCAGATGCTCCTTCTCCTGCTACTCCTCTTCTCGGATTCCGTCAACAGTCTTTCTTGGAATCCGTTTCCAAGAGACAACAGTTTGCGAGCACGCACCCGACGGTGCAAAAGCTGAACGTCCCTCCTGTCCAAGTTGCTGGTGCTGCAGTCCCTCCCTTTCCAACTGGTGGACTCAGCACCTTTCCGAGAAATGATGGCTTGTGCCGCGCCGCGGTGGAGAGTGCCAAGCCGTCATTTCTTCGCCATAAAGGCAGTGCCAGCCCTGCATTCACATGTAGAAGAGATGGTGGGCCAGTCTTTGAGCATGTCGGTCTCTGCCAAAGTGCACGGCAGCGCCGACGTGTGGAGCTGTAACTACTACGGTCAGGGACAGTACATGTCATTTACGGCCCACTGGGTGAAACGTGGTGCCGGCACAGCCGCACCAGCAACTTGGACAGGTCACGACGCTTTTGCCTCCACGTTTGCACGTCCTTGGTCCAGCAAACATGTCCGCCTCTACCACCTCTTTTTCCGCCGTGTCCTCAGCCAGCCCACCCCCGTGCCAAGTCCCATTACCCGACCGGCATATCACATGTGCAGGGCGCAACGGTGTCACGCTGTGCTGCACCTGGTATGCCTTGGCGAACGTAGTCACACAGGGGAGGAACTTCTGAGTGTAATGAACAGAGAAATCGACAGATGGCTGTCTCCGCGCAAACTGAAAATCGGAACCATGTTGACCGACAACGGAAAGAACATGGTGTCTGCTCTGCGTCAAGGAAGGTTGTGCCATGCGCCATGCATGGCTCACGTGTTCAATCTGGTTGTCAAGCGGTTCCTAAAATCCACCATCCCACTGCAAGACATCCTTAAAATGTCACGTAAACTTTGCATGCATTTCAGCCATTCCTACACCGCAAAGAACACCCTCATTGAGCTGCAGCGGCAGAACGGAATTCCACAGCATCGCCTGATCTGCGACGTTGCAACAAGGTGGAATTCAACCCTACACATGTTAGACCGCCTTTACGAGCAGCGAAAGGCCATCACCGATTTCCTGATGTTACAAGCGGATAAAGGTACTCCCCTGTGTAACTTCGATGTCAGCCATTGGCAGCTCATGCGTGACACCTGCCGCTTGCTCAGGCCCTTTGAGGAGGCCACGCTATTCGTGAGTCGGCAGGACTATGGGATGAACGACGTCATTCCTCTGTTGCACGTCCTGGAACAAATGCTGTTAACAATGGCTGGTCAGGGTGCGGTAGACGTGGCGCACAGATCTCAACGCCACATGACCCCTGTGGGGCAGGACAGGAAGAAGAGGAGGAGGTAGAGGAGGACATTTGTGCTCAGGAATTATTGAGTGAAATGGGTGGTTTTTCCACTCAGCGGACAGGAGTGGAGGAGCAGGAGCATCTGGTAGAGGAGAGGAGGAGGAGGAGACAGAGGACCCAGACGCACCGTGGCAGTATGCTGTGGAGATGGAGGCAGGGAGTCCCTCGCATTCCTTGGCACAAATGGCCCATAGCATGCTCGGTTGCTTGCGTAGCGACAGCCGAATAATAACCATCAGACAGAGGGATGACTTTTGGCTGTCCACCTTGTTGGACCCTCGCTACCGTTCCAAAATGGTGGCCTTTTTCACACCTGCTGAGAGGGAGGCCAAAATTACGTACTATAAAAACCACCTATGTAGTCAGTTGGTCTCTGCCTTTGTGCGCCAACGTCCATCCTCAGACACTGTGGGCCCTGTGCGCTCGCGTTCCGCTGCCATGGCAGCAGGGGGGGAGGGGTGGGGTGGTAGGAGCAGTGGCAGCTCCACCAGCAGCGGCTGCCTCAGTCTGCAGTCGATGATGAGTAGCTTTCTTCACCAGCGCAGTGAGGAAACTACTAACCAGCCGCAGCAGCAGCAGCAGCATCAGGTGGACCTGGAGCAGGAGCTCAAACAACAGGCTTGGGCCTACTTGGACAGCACCCTGCCAACCGAGGTAGACAATCCCCTTGACTACTGGGCAACGAAACTTGACCTTTGGCCCCAACTAGCTGAATTTGCCCTTGAAAGGCTGTCATGCCCGGCCAGTAGCGTGGCATCGGAGCGCGTGTTTAGTGCGGCAGGAGGTATTGTAACTCCGCGGAGGACACACTGTCCACCCAAAGTGTGGAGAGACTCACGTTTGTGAAAATGAATCAGGCGTGGATTAGTCTGGATTTCAAACCACCAGTTCCTGACACAACTGACTAAATCCGCCATGAATCATGCCCCTGCCATGTGCCACTTTCAGGTCTCCTCACACACTGCTGTGTGTGTTCCATTTTTTGTCATAGGGTGCTGGCAGATTACGGGCCTCCCCCATTGCTGCTGCCCCTAATCTGCCATGGCCCCTATACCGCCTCCACACTGCTGCCATGTGCCTCCCATTCAGGTCTCTTCACACTGCTGGTGTGTTTTTTTTTTGACATAGGGTGCTGGCAGATTACGGGCCTCCCATAGCTGCTGCCAGGCCCCTAATCTGCCATGGGCCCCCTATATACCGCCTCCTCATGCTGCTGCCAAGTCCAGAGTCTCTCATGGGTCCCTGTACGGCCTCCATTGCTGCTGTCTCCATCGCCACACTCTCCATGTGCCACATTCAGGTCTCCTCACACTGCTGTGTGTTGAATTTTTTGACATAGGGTGCTGGCAGATTACGGGCCTCCCATAGCTGCTGCCAGGCCCCTAATCTGCCATGGGCCCCTATATACCGCCTCCTCATGCTGCTGCCAAGTCCAGAGTCTCTCATGGGTCCCTGTACGGCCTCCCATTGCTGCTGTCTCCATCGCCACACTCTGCCATGTGCCACTTTCAGGTCTCTCACACTGCTGGTGTGTTGAATTTTTTGACATAGGGTGCTGGCAGATTACGGGCCTCCCATTGCTGCTGCCAGGCCCGTAATCTGCCATGGGCCCCCCGTACCGCCTCCTCATGCTGTGCTGCAACAAGGTGTAATTCAACCCTACATATGTTAGACCGCCTGTACGCCTCCCAGCGAAAGGCCATCACAGATTTCCTGATGTTAAAAGCGGATAAAGGTCTCCCTGTGTAACTTAGATGTCAGCCATTGGCAGCTCATGCGTGACACCTGCGCTTGCTCAGGCCCTTTGAGGAGGCCACGCTATTTGTGAGTCGGCAGGACTATGGGATGAACGAGGTCAAATCGGCCATGGGCCCCCGTACCGCCCCCTGGTCACGCTGCTGCTGGTCCCACAGTGTGACCTGGGTCCCTGTACGGCCTCCCATTGCTTCCACTCTGCCATCTGCCATGTGCCACTTTGAGGTCTCCTCACACTCCTGCGGTTTTCCATTTTGTCATAGGTTGCTGGCAGATTACAGGCCTTCCATAGGTGCCGCCAGGCCCCAAATCGGCCATGGGCCCCCCCGTACCGCCTGGTCACGCTGCTGCTGGGCCCACAGTGTGACCTGGGTCCCTGTACGGCCTCCCATTGCTTCCACTCTGCCATGTGCCACTTTTGAAATCTCCTCACACTCCTGCGGTTGTCCATTTTGTCATAGGTTGCTGGCAGATTACAGGCCTTCCATAGGTGCCGCCAGGCCCCAAATCGGCCATGGGCCCCCGTACCGCCTGGTCACGCTGCTGCTGCTGAGCCCCACAGTGTGACCTGGGTCCCTGTACGGCCTCCCATTGCTCCCACTCTGCCATGTGCCACTTTGAGGTCTCCTCACACTCCTGCGGTTTTCCATTTTGTCATAGGTTGCTGGCAGATTACAGGCCTTCCATAGGTGCCGCCAGGCCCCATATCGGCCATGGGCCCCCGTACCGCCTGGTCACGCTGCTGCTGAGCCCACAGTGTGACCTGGGTCCCTGTACCGCCTCCCATTGCTCCCACTCTGCCATGTGCCACTTTGAGGTCTCCTCACACTCCTGCGGTTTTCCATTTTGTCATAGGTTGCTGGCAGTTACAGGCCTCCCATAGGTGCTGCCAGGCCCCAAATCTGCCATGGGCCCCCGTACCGCCTGGTCACGCTGCTGCTGGGCCACAGTGTGACCTGGGTCCCTGTACCGCCTCCCATTGCTCCCACTCTGCCATGTGCCACTTTCAGGTCTCCTCACACTCCTGCTGGTTTCCATTTTGTCATAGGTTGCTGTATGGCCTCCCATTGCTGCTGCCTCCACCGCCACACTGTGGCTCCAAACACTGGTTTTGGCCCCGTGACTGGCCAAATGAGTGAAGTGTGCGGTGATTCTAAGATCGACGGCACTCATCTGCATGTCATACTGAGTGACAGTATTATTTCTCTTCCCCAGCAGACTCCAAGGGCATTTAAATTAAAGGTACAGTGTTCTGCACTAATATTAAGTCTCTCTGAAGCCTAGAAACACCCTTTTTTAAGTTAAATTCACAGCGAATTTATTCGACTCGAATCGAATATTGTCCACGAATTCGCCGAATCAGTCGAATCGAATTTTTCAATTCTTCGCTCTTACATACCGACGTGGGACTGATGCTTGCGTTCACCTTTGCACATGAGCATGGGGTTACGGGGGTGATTTTTTTAAAAATGATTTTACGTTTTTTTATTTTTTCACTGTCCTTTTAATTTTTTTATCATGTTTCTTTTATTTTTATCACAAGGAATGTAAATATCCCCTGTGATAGAGACAAGTACTCTTTTCTCAGAAATCTCTTAGACTCTAGATCTCTCCTCTGCTCTAAAGCACCTGATCACACATAATTGGTGTAATCAGATGCTTTCCCAGTTTAAAATGGCGCTGTTTATATCCAGTGAAACTGAAGTGATGAAATGCTCGTTGCTTCCAGTTTCTTAGACATAGAGATGACTGGAGCCATTCTGGTCCCCAATCAGCTCTATGGTCAGCCAGCAGAACCACCAGCTGCATGCTCAGATTCCCCAGTGGGACAGGAGAGCCTGAGAAAGCTGTGGAAGATGGTGGGGGGAGTAGATGTCCTTTCCCGCTGCTTGTAAAAGCAATTCAGCAGCTAATTAGCCACTTGGACTGTTTTTACATGAAAGCCAACTGCTGGCTGAAAAAAATGATACCAAGATGATGCCTGCAGCTGCAGGCATCATCCTGGTATACCCACTCAAAGTCCAGCGACATACTAGTACATTGCTGGTCCTTGTTGGGCATAAATGCAATGTTCTTTTTTTTCATTAGAGTGTTATCACTGAAATGCATAAAGCACATTATTATCTCATATCTATACCTGGCCATGGCAGCAGAGAACATGGGCATATGATGAATCGGGTCTGTGGACCATTATGACTGCAATTCATTCTTTTTTGTAATGCCCATGTTGAGGAGGGTTGGGCCCAAAAATGTTTTAAATTCAGAAACCATGGTAGGTTTGCATGTGAATTGACTGGCAAGAGCTGCATTTGGGTTGGCAACAATGTATTATTGTGTGTATAAATTGCTTTGTCCCAAAATAAATTGATACAAATCTTCTGTGAAAAACAGGGAGGGGCTAAATGCTAGTGCTGGCAGTGAACAAGGCCGATCCTGCTAACACTGCCTTTTTGAGGACACTATACTAAGGGGGCACTAGTATAGTTCTATTTTGTGATCCATATATTGGTAATTGGTGGTAATCAGCGACCTATAGTGTGAGTGCGATAGTGTGCAGGTAGTCTAACGCTAGCTGGCCCTGGCCGGGAGGGGCGCTAACTGACCCAGTCACTGTCTGACATCACTAGTGGCAGTAATACAGTGACCCGTGAAAAATCCTATATACTAGCACTGCATTAATGACACTGGCTGGGTGACAGGGTTGAACAAAGGGTTAATGAGGGTGATCAAAAGGTCAAATGTACTAATCTAATGTGTGTGTAAACTGTAGTTCTTTTATACACAATATTGTGTTCTCTCCTCTCTCCCTGGACCTCTGGTGGGGGGGGGGGGGGTGTGCATGCATGCAGACTCACATCTGTTAATAGAGCACAACATAAGGGTATGTTACTTTGGCCAGAGCTGCTGCTTGCCCATACATTGCAAAAAAAAAAACCTAAAAAGAAAATGTTTTTAAATATTTTTGCTAAATATTTTTTTTTTTACATTATGTTAATTTTTTAAACAAATTTACCATAGTAACATTGCTCTACTCAGCGAGTGATCAAGAATTCTTTTATTACTCTTAGATTGCTGGTACAATAAAGATCAATCAACCAGCAATGCTTTGAATGCTCATGAATGGGTTAAGTTAATGACAGTTCAGAATACTAGTGATCTGTGATTGGCTACAGCTAATCACATGATACAGGATGCTGTGATTGGCCCAGATACCATGTGAGAGCTGGTTTTAATAAAGTGCATATATACAGATAAAATAGCCAATTAAAAACAAAGAAACCACTGTGTGTTCACTTACATAAGGGGCTACCAGACACTCGGAATGGCGGCACAACCTCCAGCAATAACGCCTAACAACCTAATGCCATTTCATGCGACAGAGCGTCCTCAGGGGTTCAAAAACTATTTTCCTGTGGTCTAAAGGAAGTGTAATTACCGTACATCACATCTGGTATCGGTGCCATTTTCTTATTTGCTCGAAAGACCAAGCACGGCTGCAATCATGTTAAAGATCAACTCACAGGATCACAAAAACCAGACCCATTATATTATTCTACAAAACATAAAAAGGATAAATCAAATACTTAGAGGGGCTACATATCGTGATAGAACTAAAAATCACTATAATAAATACATACTGACAAAGTTTTTCTAGTGAAGGGAAAATCTCAGCTGAAATATATATATATATATATATATATATATATATATATATATATATATATATATATATATACACAGAAAAAAAATAAATTAAATATATTAAAATGAAAATAATAATTATATAATATATAAAAATTAGCTGGTATCAATTAAACAATTAATATTCCAGTCTACATTTAAACCTAATAGGGGATAAGATTTTAATTCATACAGCCATTTTTGATGCTGCCGAACATGCTGACAACTGTTTTTTAAACCCTTCTTTTATATTGTAAACATGTTCCTTAAGGGGATCTCGCAGTCTTATAGAAGCCCTACCAACATATTGTTTCTGACATGGATACTAGAGATGAGCGAATCGAAGTATCCGAAGTGGAATTCGAGTCGAATATCGGAAAAATTTCGATTCGTGCCGAATCCGAAAAATAGCCTAATTCGGACGCGCGAATCGAAAATTTTTTTCAGAAAATGGCGGCTGACATGTGCGGCGACGGAGCGGGGATGTCGGGGAAGGCGCGCAGACAAGGCGCGCTGCCCCATAATGCATTCCTCAACGACATGTGATCGCATCAGCCAATCAGCAGCCAGCCAGCCAGCACTGTGTAATGGTCGAGGTATATATAGCGGCCATTTTGGAATTCTTCATTTGCCTGCAGTCATTGAACAGAGGCAGACCGCTCTGTACTAGGGACAGGGACAGAGTTAGGGCCACAGAAACGAGAATTGGGGACAGAGAAAAGTTACTAGGGACAGAGAACCATTACTCAGGGACACAGACTTTGTTAATGAGGGCCACAGAATCGTTATTTAGGGACAAAGAAACGCTAGTTAGGGCCACAGAATTCATACTCAGGGACAGACAGAATTGTTACTCAGTGCCAGAGAATTGTTACTTAGGGCCACAGAAACGTTATTAGGGCCACAGAATTTTTACTCAGGGACAGACAGAATTGTTACTGAGTGCCAGAGAATTGTTTACTCAGGGACAGACAGAATTGTTACTGAGTGCCAGAGAATTGTTACTCAGGGCCACAGAATTGTTACTCAGGGACAGACAGAATTGTTACTCAGGGACAGACAGAATTGTTACTGAGTGCCAGAGAATTGTTACTCAGGGACAGACAGAATTGTTACTGAGTGCCAGAGAATTGTTACTCAGGGCCACAGAATTCATACTCAGGGACAGACAGAATTGTTACTCAGGGACAGACAGAATTGTTACTGAGTGCCAGAGAATTGTTACTCAGGGACAGACAGAATTGTTACTGAGTGCCAGAGAATTGTTACTCAGGGACAGACAGAATTGTTACTGAGTGCCAGAGAATTGTTACTCACGCACAGACACAAAATTGTTACTCGCACAGACACAGAATTGTTACTTGCACAGACACAGAATTGTTACTCGCTCACAGACACAGAATTGTTACTCAGGGCCACAGAATTCATACTCAGGGACAGACAGAACAGAATTGTTACTCAGGGACAGACAGAATTGTTACTGAGTGCCAGAGAATTGTTACTCAGGGACAGACAGAATTGTTTACTGAGTGCCAGAGAATTGTTACTCGCACAGACACAAAATTGTTACTCGCACAGACACAGAATTGTTACTCGCACAGACACAGAATTGTTACTCGGACAGGCCACAGAATTGTTACTCAGGGGGGACAGACACAGAATTGTTACTCAGGGCCACAGAATTCATACTCAGAGGACAGACAGAATTGTTACTCAGGGGACAGACAGAATTGTTACTGAGTGCCAGAGAATTGTTACTCAGGGACAGACAGAATTGTTACTGAGTGCCAGAGAATTTGTTACTCAGGGACAGACAGAATTGTTACTGAGTGCCAGAGAATTGTTACTCAGGGACAGACAGAATTGTTACTGAGTGCCAGAGAATTGTTACTCGCACAGACACAAAATTGTTACTCGCACAGACACACACAGAATTGTTACTCGCACAGACACAGAATTGTTACTGACAGGCCACAGAACTGTTACTTAGGGCCACAGAATTGTTACTCGCAGGGACACAGAATTGTTACTCAGGGGACACAGAATTGTTACTCAGGGACACCTAATCGTTGAATTAAAGAGTATGTCAGACAACATGCAGAGGAGTGGCAGAGGAGGCAATGTTTTAGGAGCGAGCAGACGTGGCAGCAGAGAAGGGGTCGAGGCAGCAGTATTCGCAGCCAGAGGCCAGTGCTCCCGGTGTCATCCAGCGGTCGTGTCTCCACCGACAACCCTGCCGTCATTGATTGGTTGGCTCGGTCGTCTTCCTCTTCCCAGGTCACCTCTGACACCTACAGCCAACGGTCGGTGGGTACGTCAGACACAACCGTTAGTTGGCATGGCCCGGGAGCAAGCCCACTGAAATCACGTGTCCTCTACCTGCCCCTGTCCTTTGCTGTTCCCTCACCAAGCGAAGTATCGCATGCTGTGGGCTCAGCCCCACTGTACAGTGAGGAAGAGCTAACAGAGGGCGGTCAGGAACGGGGGGAGACATCGGCCTTTTCAGCAGCCAAGCGAACAAGTACTGGCGAGGAGAGTGGCTCGGTAGCCGGTCTAGAGACAGGTCTGTCTCCTGACCCAGACGCAGCCGAGGGGGCTAGTAGTGAGGCGGAGACCTACTTACTTGATGATGAGGAGGTTGATCGCACTTGGCTGCCTCGTCGTCATCAGGCAATTTCTTCCGCATCATCAGGAGAAGAGAGGGTGCCAGCTTGGCAGCGAGCGAAACAGTCGGTGGGTTGCCCAGGAGGCAGCAGGGTCGCATCAGTGTCAGTGGAGCCAAACGTCCACGGAGTAGAGCACCAGCTCCACTGCAGCCTACCTACCACCACGGCCAGTAGTGGTGCCGGTGCGCACGGAGGAAGTAGCAGTCAGCCAGTGAAGAGTAGCGGGGGCAAAGTTTCCTACTCGGTGGTGTGGCAATTTTTCGTCAAGCCGCCCGAGGAAGTAAACGTAGCCGTATGTCGACTATGTGGCCAGAAATGCAAGCGTGGCCAGGGGGCCCATGTTGGGACTACAGCGTTGCGTCAGCATATGCAGCGTCACCATTCGGTGGCCTGGGAAAACCGTGATAAAGATACGGCGGTTCTGCCTGCCCCAGCCCCCGCTCCATCACCCGCTCCGTTACTTGCTCCGTCACCCGACGTCGTCAATCGCCCTCTATCAGCCAGTCAAGGCTCCAACACTCTCTGCTGAGGGGAGTTGTCGCTCATTGGCATCTTCCGCTCGTTCAGATGCTCCTTCTCCTGCTACTCCTCTTCTCGGATTCCGTCAACAGTCTTTCTTGGAATCCGTATCCAAGAGAGACAACAGTTTGCGAGCACGCACCCGACGGTGCAAAAGCTGAACGTCCTCCTGTCCAAGTTGCTGGTGCTGCAGTCCCTCCCTTTCCAACTGGTGGACTCAGCACCTTTCCGAGAAATGATGGCTTGTGCCGCGCCGCGGTGGAGAGTGCCAAGCCGTCATTTCTTTGCCCAAAAGGCAGTGCCAGCCCTGCATTCACATGTAGAAGAGATGGTGGGCCAGTCTTTGAGCATGTCGGTCTCTGCCAAAGTGCACGGCAGCGCCGACGTGTGGAGCTGTAACTACGGTCAGGGACAGTACATGTCATTTACGGCCCACTGGGGTGAACGTGGTGCCGGCACAGCCGCACCAGCAACTTGGACAGGTCACGACGCTTTTGCCTCCACGTTTGCACGTCCTTGGTCCAGCAAGCATGTCCGCCTCTACCACCTCTTTTTCCGCCGTGTCCTCAGCCGCCACCCCCGTGCCCAAGTCCCATTACCCGACCGGCATATCACATGTGCAGGGCGCAACGGTGTCACGCTGTGCTGCACCTGGTATGCCTTGGCGAACGTAGTCACACAGGGGAGGAACTTCTGAGTGTAATGAACAGAGAAATCGACAGATGGCTGTCTCCGCGCAAACTAAAAAAAATCGGAACCATGTTGACCGACAACGGAAAGAACATGGTGTCTGCTCTGCGTCAAGGAAGGTTGTGCCATGCGCCATGCATGGCTCACGTGTTCAATCTGGTTGTCAAGCGGTTCCTAAAATCCACCATCCCACTGCAAGACATCCTTAAAATGTCACGTAAACTGTGCATGCATTTCAGCCATTCCTACACCGCAAAGAACACCCTCATTGAGCTGCAGCGGCAGCAACGGAATTCCACAGCATCGCCTGATCTGCGACGTTGCAACAAGGTGGAATTCAACCCCTACACATGTTAGACCGCCTTTACGAGCAGCGAAAGGCCATCACCGATTTCCTGATGTTACAAGCGGATAAAGGTACTCCCCTGTGTAACTTAGATGTCAGCCATTGGCAGCTCATGCGTGACACCTGCCGCTTGCTCAGGCCCTTTGAGGAGGCCACGCTATTCGTGAGTCGGCAGGACTATGGGATGAACGACGTCATTCCTCTGTTGCACGTCCTGGAACAAATGCTGTTAACAATGGCTGGTCAGGGTGCGGTAGACGTGGCGCACAGATCTCAACGCCACATGACCCCTGTGGGGGCAGGACAGGAAGAAGAGGAGGAGGTAGAGGAGGACATTTGTGCTCAGGAATTATTGAGTGAAATGGGTGGTTTTTCCACTCAGCGGACAGGAGTGGAGGAGGAGCAGGAGCATCTGGTAGAGGAGGAGGAGGAGGAGACAGAGGACCCAGACGCACCGTGGCAGTATGCTGTGGAGATGGAGGCAGGGAGTCCCTCGCATTCCTTGGCACAAATGGCCCATAGCATGCTCGGTTGCTTGCGTAGCGACAGCCGAATAATAACCATCAGACAGAGGGATGACTTTTGGCTGTCCACCTTGTTGGACCCTCGCTACCGGTCCAAAATGGTGGCCTTTTTCACACCTGCTGAGAGGGAGGCCAAAATTACGTACTATAAAAACCACCTATGTAGTCAGTTGGTCTCTGCCTTTGTGCGCCAACGTCCATCCTCAGACACTGTGGGCCCTGTGCGCTCGCGTTCCGCTGGCATGGCAGCAGGGGAGGGGTGGGGTGGTAGGAGCAGTGGCAGCTCCACCAGCAGCGGCTGCCTCAGTCTGCAGTCGATGATGAGTAGCTTTCTTCACCAGCGCAGTGAGGAAACTACTAACCAGCCGCAGCAGCAGCAGCAGCATCAGGTGGACCTGGAGCAGGAGCTCAAACAACAGGCTTGGGCCTACTTGGACAGCACCCTGCCAACCGAGGTAGACAATCCCCTTGACTACTGGGCAACGAAACTTGACCTTTGGCCCCAACTAGCTGAATTTGCCCTTGAAAGGCTGTCATGCCCGGCCAGTAGCGTGGCATCGGAGCGCGTGTTTAGTGCGGCAGGAGGTATTGTAACTCCGCGGAGGACACGACTGTCCACCCAAAAGTGTGGAGAGACTCACGTTTGTGAAAATGAATCAGGCGTGGATTAGTCTGGATTTCAAACCACCAGTTCCTGACACACAACTGACTAAATCCGCCATGAATCATGCCTCAAACATGTGCCACTTTCAGGTCTCCTCACACACTGCTGGTGTGTTGAATTTTTTGACATAGGGTGCTGGCAGATTACGGGCCTCCTATAGCTGCTGCCAGGCCCCTAATCTGCCATAGGCCCCTATATACCGCCCTCCTCCTGCTGCTGCCAGGTCCAGAGTCTCTCTCTCATGGGTCCCTGTACGGCCTCCCATTGCTGCTGTCTCCATCGCCACACTCTGCTGCCATGTGCCACTTTCAGGTCTCTTCACACTGCTGGTGTGTTTAATTTTTTGACATAGGGTGCAGGCAGATTACGGGCCTCACATAGCTGCTGCCAGGCCCCTAATCTGCCATGGGCCCCCTATATATACCGCCTCCTCATGCTGCTGCCAAGTCCAGAGTCTCTCATGGGTCCCTGTACGGCCTCCCATTGCTGCTGTCTCCATCGCCACACTCTGCTGCCATGTGCCACTTTCAGGTCTCTTCACACTGCTGGTGTGTTTAATTTTTTGACATAGGGTGCAGGCAGATTACGGGCCTCACATAGCTGCTGCCAGGCCCCTAATCTGCCATGGGCCCCTATATACCGCCTCCTCATGCTGCTGCCAAGTCCAGAGTCTCTCATGGGTCCCCTGTACGGCCTCCCATTGCTGCTGTCTCCATCGCCACACTCTGCTGCCATGTGCCACTTTCAGGTCTCTTCACACTGCTGGTGTGTTTAATTTTTTGACATAGGGTGCAGGCAGATTACGGGCCTCACATAGCATAGCTGCTGCCAGGCCCCTAATCTGCCATGGGCCCCTATATACCCGCCTCCTCATGCTGCTGCCAAGTCTAGAGTCTCTCATGGGTCCCTGTACGGCCTCCCATTGCTGCTGTCTCCATCGCCACACTCTGCTGCCATGTGCCACTTTCAGGTCTCTTCACACTGCTGGTGTGTTTAATTTTTTGACATAGGGTGCAGGCAGATTACGGGCCTCACATAGCTGCTGCCAGGCCCCTAATCTGCCATGGGCCCCTATATACCGCCTCCTCATGCTGCTGCCAAGTCCAGAGTCTCTCATGGGTCCCTGTACGGCCTCCCATTGCATTGCTGCTGTCTCCATCGCCACACTCTGCTGCCATGTGCCACTTTCAGGTCTCTTCACACTGCTGGTGTGTTTAATTTTTTGACATAGGGTGCAGGCAGATTACGGGCCTCACATAGCTGCTGCCAGGCCCCTAATCTGCCATGGGCCCCTATATACCGCCTCCTCATGCTGCTGCCAAGTCCAGAGTCTCTCATGGGTCCCTGTACGGCCTCCCATTGCTGCTGTCTCCATCGCCACACTCTGCTGCCATGTGCCACTTTCAGGTCTCTTCACACTGCTGGTGTGTTTAATTTTTTTTGACATAGGGTGCTGGCAGATTACGGGCCTCACATAGCTGCTGCCAGGCCCCTAATCTGCCATGGGCCCCTATATACCGCCTCCTCATGCTGCTGCCCAAGTCCAGAGTCTCTCATGGGTCCCTGTACGGCCTCCCATTGCTGCTGTCTCCATCGCCACACTCTGCTGCCATGTGCCACTTTCAGGTCTCTCCTCACACTGCTGGTGGTTAAATTTTTTGACATAGGGTGCTGGCAGATTACGGGCCTCACATAGCTGCTGCCAGGCCCCTAATCTGCCATGGGCCCCTATATACCGCCTCCTCCTGCTGCTGCTGCCAAGTCCAGAGTCTCTCATGGGTCCCTGTACGGCCTCCCATTGCTGCTGTCTCCATCGCCACACACTCTGCCATGTGCCACTTTCAGGTCTCCTCACACTGCTGGTGTGTTTGAATTTTTTGACATAGGGTGCTGGCAGATTACGGGCCTCCCATTGCTGCTGCCAGGCCCGTAATCTGCCATGGGCCCCCCCGTACCGCCTCCTCATGCTGTGCTGCAACAAGGTGTAGATTCAACCCTACATATGTCCCTGTACCGCCTCCCCTTTACGAACAGCTGCCATCACAGATTTCCTGATGTTAAAAGCGGATAAACTCTCCCTGTGTAACTTAGATGTCAGCCATCTGTCATCTCACTGCGTGACACCTGCGCTTGCTCAGGCCCTTTGAGGGCCCACGCTATTCGTGAGTCGGCAGGACTATGGGATGAATGCCAGGCCCCAAATCGGCCATGGGCCCCCCGTACCGCCTGGTCACTGCTGCTGCTGAGCCCACAGTGTGACCTGGGTCCCTGTACGGCCTCCCATTGCTGCTGCCAGGAGGCAGCAGGGTCGCAGCTTTGTCAGTGGAGGCAAACGGCCACGGAGTAGAGCAGCAGCTCCACTGCAGCCTACCACACACAGCCAGTAGTGGTGCCGGTGTGCACGGAGGAAGTAGCAGTCAGCCAGTGAGGAGTAGCGGGTGCAAAGTTTCCTACTCGGCGGTGTGGCAAGTTTTCAGTCAAGCCGCCCCATAGAAGTAAACGTAGCCTAATGTCGACCATGGGCCCCTATATAAAGTCAAGCGTGCTGCCAGGGGGCCCATGTTGGGACTACAGCGTTGCGTCAGCATATGCAGCGTCGCCATTCGGTGGCCTGTGCCACTTTGATAAAGATACGGCGGTTCTCCTGCACCCAGCCCAGGGTTCCATTTTGTCATAGGTTGCTGGCAGATTAGCGGCCTCCCATAGGTGCTGCCAGGCCCCATATCGGCCATGGGCCCCCGTACCTCCTGGTCACGCTGCTGCTGAGCCCACAGTGTGACCTGGGTCCCTGTACGGCCTCCCATTGCTTCGCCCACTCTGCCATGTGCCACTTTGAAGGTCTCCTCACACTCCTGCGGTTGTCCATTTTGTCATAGGTTGCTGGCAGATTACAGGCCTTCCATAGTGCCTGCCAGGCCCCATATCGGCCATGGGCCCCCGTACCTCCTGATCACGCTGCTGCTGGGGCCCACAGTGTGACCTGGGTCCCTGTACGGCCTCCCATTGCTTCCACTTTGCCATGTGCCACTTTGAAATCTCCTCACACTCCTGCGGTTGTCCATTTTGTCATAGGTTGCTGGCAGATTACAGGCCTTCTATTGATGCCGCCAGCCTGGATAGGGGCCCCCCACTGTACGGCCTCCCCATTCGGCCCCCATGTGCCACTTTGAAATCTCCTCATATCGGCCATGCTAATTACAGTCCCCCGTACCAGACCTGGTCACCTCCTGGCTGCTGCTGCTGAGCCCACAGTGTGACCTGGGTCCCTGTACGGCCTCCCATTGCTTACACTCTGCCATGTGCCACTTTGAGGTCTCCTTACACTCCTGCGGTTTTCCATTTTGTCATAGGTTGCTGGCAGATTAGCGGCCTTCCATAGGTGCCGCCAGGCCCCATATCGGCCATGGGCCCCCGTACCGCCTGGTCACGCTGCTGCTGGGCCCACAGTGTGACCTGGGTCCCTGTACGGCCTCCCATTGCTTCCACTCTGCCATGTGCCACTTTGAAATCTCTTCACACTCCTGCGGTTGTCCATTTTGTCATAGGTTGCTGGCAGATTAGCGGCCTCCCATAGGTGCCGCCAGGCCCCATATCGGCCATGGGCCCCCGTACCTCCTGGTCACGCTGCTGCTGAGCCCACAGTGTGACCTGGGTCCCTGTACGTCCTCCCATTGCTTCCACTCTGCCATGTGCCACTTTGAAATCTCCTCACACTCCTGCGGGTTGTCCATTTTGTCATAGGTTGCTGGCAGATTACAGGCCTTCCATAGGTGCCACCAAGCCCCATATCGGCCATGGGCCCCCGTACCGCCTGGTCACGCTGCTGCTGGGCCCACAGTGTGACCTGGGTCCCTGTACCGCCTCCCATTGCTCCCACTCTGCCATGTGCCACTTTCAGGTCTCCTCACGCTCCTGCTGGTTTCCATTTTGTCATAGGTTGCTGTATGGCCTCCCATTGCTGCTGGCTCCACCGCCACACTGTGGCTCCAAACACTGGTTTTGGCCCCGTGACTGGCCAAAGGAGTGAAGTGTGCAGTGATTCTAAGATCGACGGCACTCATCTGCATGTCATACTGACTGACAGTATTATTTCTCTTCCCCAGCAGACTCCAAGGGCATTTAAATTAAAGGTACAGTGTTCTGCACTAATATTAAGTCTCTCTGAAGCCTAGAAACACCCTTTTTTAAGTTAAATTCACAGCGAATTTATTCGACTCGAATCGAATATTGTCCACGAATTCGCCGAATCAGTCGAATCGAATTTTTCATTTCTTCTGTCCATATCCGAAACAATATGTTGGTAGGACTACTAGAAGGCTGAGTGATCGCCTTAGGGAATATAAAAGAAATAGTGCAGCGCTAAGAAAGAATGTATAACAATAAAATATAAATTCTAAACTTCTACATTAGAGCACTCATATGAAATATACAAAATTAAAACCATATGTAATATAAAATGCTAAGTTGTATCAGAGCCCCTCATTTAATAAATACTCATTTAATAAATACTTGACTTACTACACTATGGGCATCCATACATTTTTTTCTCTGCACTGAGCGTTTAAACCCCAGCCCAGGACCCCAGGTGATCCATTCGGACCAGAGGAGGGAAGCCTTAGACCAGACCTGTATACCAACAACCCGTTAAAGGGACTCTTTGAGGGACATCTTCATCACCTTTACCAGGCTGTACCTTCATGAGACCTCTGGCCAATACGGTTACTCTATGCGCATTAAGATTGCAATTTTGGTGAGTGTGCAATCTTACCATTTTTTTTCACTGGATACCACATTGGATTAACACTGGGGATAACAGAGCAGATATATACTGTCACATATTTGGACTTGCTCACTGTCACCCTCCGTATATTGATTATTAGAGGGGCTCTAAAACAACTTAGCACTTTATATTACATATGGTTTTAAATTTTGTTGATTTCATATGAGTGCTCTAATGTAGAATTTTAGAATTTATGTTTTGTTATACATTCTTTCTTAGCGGTGCA